CAGCCTGCAGCAAACCACAGGCTCTGTGAAGAGCACTGACTCATGCTATTTTAGCAATAATGCACATATGCAGAAGACTATAACGGCTGCACATCTACTGGACATAATGGTTACATGTGCACTGAAACAGTGTAATGATTAGAGATTTGCAAACATACTGATTGCATAAGGAAAGAAAGGAATGAGGTGTTGTACTGAAGACTTCAAGCATAACTAAGATTAACTTGCATTCTGCAAAACATGGATTGGACAAATGGTTGAGTGAGTTTTATGCATATTTTCCACTTAAACATTGATAGGAATACAACATCCATGCACTCTTTTGATATTGCTTGACTGTTCACTAACAACCATTCAAGGAAACCACTGACAAGTATGTGGATGTACCTAGTAGAGAAGGAGCAAAATTGGACCTACTTTTGGGAAATAAGGCAGGACAGGTGACTGAGGTGTCAGTGGGGGAGCACTTTGGGGCCAGTGACCATAATTCTATAAGTTTTAAAATAGTGATGGAAAAGGATAGACTGCATCTAAAAGTTAAAGTTCTTATATTGGATGAAGGGCAATTGTGATGGTACTAGGCAAAAACTTTCAAGAGTTGACAGGGGGCAGATGTTCGCAGGAAAATGGGAAGCATTCAAAAATGAGATAACGAGAGTCCAGAGACAGTATGTTCTTGTTAGGGTGAAGGGCAAGGCTGGTAGATGTAGGGAATGCTGGACGACTACAGAAACCAAGGTTTGGTCAAGAAAAAGAAAGAAGCATGTGTCAGGTACAGACAGCAGATATCGAGTGGATCCCTAGAAAACTATAAAGGCAGTAGGCCTATACTTAAGAGGGAAATCAGGAGGGCAAAAAGGTGACATGAAATAGCTTTGGCAAACATGTTTAAGCAGAATCCAAAGGGATTCTACAAACACATTAAGGACAAAAAGGATAACTAGGGATAGAATTGGGTCCCTTAAAGACCAGCAAGGCCGCCTACGTGTTGAACTGCAGGAGATGGGAGAGACACTGAACGAGTATTTTGCATCAGTGTGGAGAAGGATGTGGAAGATAGAAAATGTGCGGAAATAAATAGCAACATCTTGAAAAATATTACTGGTGGTGCTGGATGCCTTAAAACACATAAAGGTGGATAAATCCCTGGGACCTGATCAGGCGTACCCTAGAACTCTGTGAGAAGCAAGCGGAGAGATTTGTATCACTAAACCCGCAGGTAAGGTGCCAGAAGACTTGAGGTTGGCTAACGTTGTGCCACTATTTAAGAAAGGTGGTAAGGAAAAGCCAGGGAACTATAGACCAGACAGTGTGACTTCGCTGGTGGGCAAATTGTTGGAGGGAATCGTGAGGGACAGGACTTACATGTATTTGGAAAGGCAAGGACTGATTAGGGATAGTCAACGTAGCTTTGTGCTTGGGAAAACATGTCTCACTAACTTGATTAAGTTTTTTGAAGTAGTAATGAAGTGGATTGATGAGGGTAGAGTGGTGGACATGAACTATCTGGATTTCAGTAAGGCATTCAACAAGGTTCCAAATGGTAGATTTGTTAGCGAGGTGAGATCACATGGAATACAGAGAGAACCAGCCATTTGGATACAGAACGGACAGGAAGGTAGGAGATAGAGGGTGATGGCAGTGGAGGGATGCTTTTCAGACTGGAGGCCTGTGACCAGCGGTGTGCCACTAGGATCAGTGCTGGGTCCACTGCTTTTTGTCATTTATATAAATGATTTGGATGTGAACAGAGGAGGTATGGTCACTAAGTTTGCAGACAACACCAAAATTGGAGGTGTAGTGGACAGCCAAGGTTACCTCAGAGTACAACGAGACTTTGATCAGATGAAATGACGGGCCAAGGAGTGGCAGATGCAGTTTAATTTAGATAAATGTGAGGTGCTGCATTTTGGTAAGGCAAATCAGGGCAGGACTTATACACTTAATGGTAAGGTCCCGTTGCTGAACAAAGAGACTTTGGAGTGCAGGTTCACAGCTCCTTGGAAGTGGAGTCACAGGTAAGTAGGATAGTGAGGAAGGTGATTGGTATGCTTGCCAATATTGGTCAGTACAATGAGTAAAGGAGTTGGGAGGTCATGTTGCGGCTGTACAGGACATTGATTTGGCCACTTTTGGAATACTGCATGCAATGCCGGCCTCCCATCTATAGAAAGGATGTTGTGAAACTTAAAAAGGTTCAGAAAAGATTTTTGAGGATGTTTCCAGGGTTTGAGGTTAGGGATAGGCTGAATAGGCTGGGGCTATATTTCCCCTGGAGCAGAGGCTGAGAGATGACCTTGTAGAATCATGAGGGGCATGGATAGGGTAAATAGGCAAGATCTTTTCCCTGTGGTGAGGGAGTCTAAAACTAGAGGGCATAGGTTTAAGGTGAGAGAGGAAAATATAAAAGGGATCTAAGGGGCAACTTTTTCACCCAGAGGGTGGTGTGTATATGGAATGAGCTGCCAGAGGAAGTGGTGGAGGCTAGTACGATTACAACATTTAAAAGGCATCTGGATGGGCATTTGAATAGGAAGGGTTTAGAGGGACATGGGCCAAATGCTAGCAAATGGGACTATGACTCTATTTGCACTAGGTCACTATATCATGGAAATCTAAACATAACTGGTGTCCATAAGACTAAGACTGAACAGCAGTAAGACATTCAGCCCATCAAGTTTGCTCCGCTATTCAACGAGATCATGGTTGATCTCAATTCTCAATTTCATTTTCCTGTCTTTTCCATAACTCTTGATTCCCTTACTGATTCAAATTCTGTCTATCTCAGCCTCAGGTATACTTATAGCCCCAGCTTCAACAGCACCTACGATAAAGAATTCCACAAATTCACTATCCTCAGCGAAGAAATTCCTCATCTGTTTCAAATGTGAAAACCCTTATTCTAATATTATGCCTGATGGTCCTAAATTCTCCCAGAAGGGCAAATCACCTCTCCTTATCTACCCTGTCAAGTCCCCACAGAATCTTGTATTTTTCAATACGACTGCATCTCATTCTTCCAAATTTCAATGAGCACAGGCCCAATTTGCTCAACATCTCCTTCCATAACAGATATCAGCTTAGTGAACCTTCTCTGGACTGTCTCAATGCCAGTATATATTTCCTTAGATAAGGAGCACAAAACTGTTCAGTATTCCAGCTGTGGTCTTCCTTGTTTTAGCAAGACCTACTTACTTTATACTTCATTCCCTTTGAAATAAAGGCCAACCACTGAACGTCAATGCTAGCTTTTTGTGCTTCACAAACAAGGACTGCCAAATCCCTCCGTAGTTTTCTGTTGTCTTTCTCTATCTGAACAATATTCACTCCTCTATCTTTCCTGCCAAAGTATAAACCTCTCACATTGAATCTCTTTTAATCAAACTTATGAACCAAGCAAGATGTGCAATGGAGTTCAGTTTCAAACCATGTGTGATCAAGTAGATGGTGGTGTCATAGAACCCATTCTAGACCCAGTTTTTACGAACATTTTTGTTGGTTCAATAAGTGTGTCTTCATTGTAATGACCTCTTAATCCCTGCATACTTCCAATGCATAGATCAAACATTTGCTACATTTGAATCTGCAGCTGCATCTAAGAACTGCCTTCCTTATATACCTTTACAGGTTCCTTTTCCTGATTAACCTATTTTTCTAATCAACCTGTTCAAAAATGTTATTACAAACTTCTGGAGTAGGTAGGATTTGAAACAAACTTCCTGGTCCAGGGGTAGAGACACTACCACAGCACCACAATCTGCGCTCAAATTCTCCTTTGAAATGGAGCAGACTAGTTTCCTTTCCTCAACATGATAATTAAGAAATCTACAATGTTTTCTACTACCATCGACCAGATGATTCCATTCAGAATAAGATTAGCACAAGATCGGTATCAGTATGATCAGAAACTTTGCGAATAGGGCTCTAATCATCTGCTCACTGTCTCAGTTTGATGTCAAGCCAGGATAACTGGTGCATCATACGACACTGTCCTTTGATTATTCACTGGGCTCAATCTGCCTGTGCTTGCAAAACTCAGAACTGCGCCCAACATTAGATACGATTCTGCCATTGAACAACATTTAATAAATAATCCCGACAGTGCTAAAAATGATGCCAGAAACCAATTTAAAAATATGCTTATGATGTGATGAATTATCACATGCTGAGACTTACATTTCTTCCACATTGGACACCAATTTTTGTAGCCAGAAGGAGTACATGTCCAAACATGGCACGTTTTTCATGGAGGAAAAAGCTCTTCAAACAGTAAATTCCTGCTGCAGTTCAATGGCAATGCCTTGGCCAGAGTCCACTTGCCCAGTTACCTAAGGCAGTCGACAGTTCCTGCTGTATCTCCACGCTAACTTAAGACTACTAATCAGCACTCTCTTCTCAAAAACGCATAAATAGCTTGTTCATTTTCAAAGTCAGTTCTACTGTGGTTCATCCTGATGACTGCTAAATTAAAAGGTTTGACTTCGTGTTGAATCAATATTTTTACTGCTTTTGTTTTTGCCAAAGTTTATTAGTTACTAGAAAACGGATATATAAATGGCTTTGGCCATGAGAGAAACATTTTAATATATTTCTCAAAATCTACAAAGTTTTTTATTCTTTCAAAATAGACAAAATAACCATCTTACCATTGCAACATAGTTGAATTTACGAATTACTTGACGTATTCTCTTCATCTCTTCATCCAGGTTACAAGCCCAGACCTCGCAGATTCTTTGGCTGTGATCTACTGTCGCCGCTGGCATGTTGCTAAATTCAAATCGCAGTCATCAAAGCACTACACTTTAAAGGTGGACGAGTAGTAAATGAGGAAGTCCAAACTTACTGCCTGACCTTCACTCTCAATATTTACCTTCAAAATATAAATTGACTAAAATTAGAATGTAGGAAAAAATGAAGCAACGAATCAAGAAATAGGACTTCAGTATCAACAGGAGGCTGAAATAATCTCTTCAAATTTCTGAAATTCTATTTAAAGACGGTAAATATTCTCCAAATGCAAGCTCAAAGTGAGTTCTTTTCATATGGTAGGAAAATGTGCTTGTTTATAAAAATGTCTCTCCAAAAGAAAATAATAAGTAGCCATAATAAATAAATAGTACAGAACTTCAGTAGTGCTGAAAAACAACTGTTTTTTGGTCTCACACCCATTAGAATAATTTACTGGAAAACCAATGTAACAGAAAAATGACATTTCTACTTTTGGAGAGGAAAGTGCTGAATGGTTGGCAAGTGGACACTGATTGGTTAAGGCATTGCCCTGAGAAGTGAACCAGTTCTGTTTGCAAAGAACAGAGCCTCATTTATTGATAAATGTAGTTTCTAGCAGATGCAAGTGTGCCACACTGCACACGTGAGAGACAATCCTAAATTGGCTGTCAGTGCAATGTTTCTCTCACACTCACACACATACACACACACACAGGAAATAGGGCCTGAACCATTTGTTAACCATAAAAGCCAGTTGTTGAATTCGGGTGCATCAAAACCATCCTATGTGGTAATGGCTTCCTTGACTAGTTCATTTCACATTGCATATTGTGCAAACTCATGAATGGGCATAAGGCCTCCACTTTCGATCTCAAAACATGCCTGATCTAGCTCAAAGGTTAATCAACAGGTAAACACAGTTATTTCACACTGCTACTATGCAGTAGCAACACAAATGGTTGCTACACATCAAGAATGGAACAGTCAAGCCAAAAAAAACTGTCTAACATGCAAATGAATGTGAAATACGAATTTCAATGCCAATATGATGCTAGCATATGTGCCAAAACAGATGGATATATGAAAAGGCAAATCCCTTTCACTGTTCCCAACAAGCAAAGTACTAACTATACCCCACAGAAAATGCTTGAAAAAAAACTTACAACAGTATTCAACATTTGGTGTGACTTCATGGTTGGACAAAATTTGTAAAGTAATCCTTAATGCATGTAGAATTACACTGACAATCAATTTAGGTGGTTTGGAGTACGCGCATACTGTAAACTACATTTTAATACAGCACTGTACTTCGCAGGCAGAAAACACACACACACAACGTGCCTATTTCAATTCAAAACAATAGCTGGTAACCATTCACCTGTACATTTCTCAGTGCAACACCCTGATCAATCACAGTCAACCAGCCTAGTTTAAAACTTAAACAATGCTTGGTTGTTAACTGTCAGTCATTAACTGAATGCTCCAAGGCAATGTCTCTACCATTCCAAGTCCACTTGTCAACTAATCAGCACTCTTCTCAGTATAAATTTTGTTCTTCTTATACTTTGGTATTTCTTGCAACGTTTCGACAAAATATGTACTTTTTCTATCAGTACTCAAAATAAATGAATGTTGTATTCAAATACTTAAAATATTTATCCAAAATCATAGTAATGGTTTCTGAGCTCTTCATAAATAAACTATAGGCAGGCTTTGCTTTTATTTTATCAATGATTATTTTGCAATATGTAACAAATAACTGGTGAGACAATTGCATTGGAAAATAACATAACATTTTATCACATCAACAAATAACTTAAGCATTAAAAGGTGCTTCACAGAAGCAATTAGAAAAGACGTTAAAGGGAGATGGCAAAGTAAATTGTTGGGCCCCAGAAATCAGTCTTAAATAAACAGGAGCTGTAGAGACAAAAGATGGAATTTAATTCCCTCCTCCACGGTGAGTTTTGGTGGTGGAGGGGCATCTAATTAGGCAGGAATGTAGGGGTAGAAACTCTACTGTATTATTGTCTCTATTCTTCTTAAGTTCACGACATATTATGCTATTAATGGAACAGTCAGATTCACGTAACAGAGCAAAAATTACAATGCCTTTTAAGTATAAGAGCTTTGCCTTCCTTGCTACAAGCAAATCTTTAAAAATACATACAAATACACTATTAATTGAAGAGACTTTTCGATTTCTCCAGTAACTGTCATTTCTGTAGTACGTATGCTGGTAAAATTCTGAGCAGTTTTACACTTGGAGTAATTATGCTTTCTGGTGCTGAACGTACAACAGAATTTTGTGCTAAGTTTCTCTATTTAACTGTAAAGACTTGAAATTTTCCTGGCAATTCTTTTAAATTTTTCTAGCCAAACACAAACAAACAGTGTTTTATATATTCTACTTCAAAAACAATAAAATTTATTTATTTCCCACAAATCTCATGACACTGCAAACCATCACCCTATCTCCAGCCTCCCAAACATGGCAATCTTCTCTGCATAACCATATTTTAATTTCTCCAATTAGGTGTTCATCCACAGCACAGCAGCAAAGTTAAATAACCAACTTCACAAATACAATCCTCTGATACTTTGATTAATGTGTATGTGTTTATCATTGATAGGCCTCTCTGCAGCTGACACTGTTGACCATGCCATTCCCTGTTATTGTCTCTCCATCATTGTCCAGTTCAGTGAAACTCTCTTACTCATCCACTCTAGCCCATCCCATTTTAACCAGAACAGTCCTAGCAATGATTTTGCTTTCTATTCCCATATTGTAAACTTAAGTCTTTCAGGGATCTGGCTCCATTGCGCCAGTTATCAAGACATTCTGTCCAAAATAACATTCTGGATGACCTACCATTCCTCTATTCAAAAGGTGGTAAGATCACAGCCATTGTCTTCGGTGTCTGCAACAAATTTTGTATGCTATCCAAGAATTCCAAACCCCTCCTTGACCACTATTTTAGGCTCATCAAGACTGTCAACTACATCTGCAATCTTTTTAAACATGAAGTCAGTTTCCAACCTCATCATCTCCATCAGTAATTTGAAAAATATTTCAGCAACATTTCCTAAACCCATGCATGACATCCATCAACTAGAAAGATATGAACTGCAAGTGCTTGGGAGAATAATTACCTTCGAGCTTTCCTTTAAATTATAGATCATCCTGACTTTATATATAGTGTTCCTTCCTCGCCGTTTGGTCAAATCTTGGAATTTTCTATCTAATGGCATTGGGAGTGTTTTCACCACAGACTGTAGCAGCTCAAAAAAGCTTTCCATTGCAAGCAGGAATCAACGCTAAGTTTTGGCTCCGTAATTTAAAGAAATCTTGAGAATAGATTAAATAGAGGGCTATAGCTTCACAAGAACTTTGCAAACTAGTCCAGGTCTACTGAGTTGCAACTTAAAAGACGATTTCCACTAAGACATTTGCTTAGTGTAAACAGTATAGTTTCAGAATAAAATTTAATAATTTTGTCAAGTTAACTACACTTATATGTTACAAAAGAACCAGACATCAAACAGAAACATTATAACTAGTAAGAGTGGGAGCAATAAATGACAGAATTATAAATAAAATTTCAAAACTACCAAAAAAAAATTTCCAGAACAGTAAATTCAAGCAAATTTTCAGACATCTTCAAACAATCAGATTTGTTGCAGCCTTATGTTACACTCAAACAAATACCTTTATGTAATTAAGACATCTCATTTGAAGTCATTGTCATATAATTCAGTTGCGTTTTCAGGTATCTTAAGAGACCATGTCAAAATTTTAAAAGCAAATTCTCAATGTGTCTGATGATATATATGTCTCTCATCTCCTAATACAAGCAACCATGACAAACCCAACAACAACACACTATATCACAAAACTGCAATATAATTATACATCAAATGGCTGATAGGTGCAAATTTTAAACATTTCACAAAACATTGCTGACAAGCAATGGTAGACTTTTTGAAAAGTTTCTTTTGGAGATTGAATTTAATCCTTCCCCATAACCAAACTGGCCCCTGCCAATGCAAATAATTTTCAGGGCTGACCGATGCTTTTCAATATCAATGTTGAACATTTAAACAGCAAAACTGAATGCTTGAATGTGTTGAATCTCAGGACTTGTTTATTTTAAAGCATACACCACACACGGTCTCGCCGAGTCAACTTTGTTGTACAATCTATTCCTAACATATTACAGTCATGTAATCTATAGGCATGCCGATTGCGGTCACGTTGACTACCTTTAATAACACACGACCTTAATAACTTTGGAAAGTTCCAGGTCTCATGAAACATTGTTTGTTATTATCTTTGAGACACGCGGATGGGAGTCGGGGAAGGGGTGGAATTCTGCCTCTTTCAGATAGTAGTGAAGATACCAAAACAACTAAAGCAGCAGCTCTAACAACGACGAACACAAATGTATGAGCGTTGTCGTTTGTAGGACGTTAGGTGTCTTTTTTTTTTACCTGCGTTAGACGGGAGCGGGCTCTGAGGACTCTTTAACTATTAAAACACAAGCCCGTCTCCTCAGTGCCTCAAGAACCCACTCGCGTCCTCCATTACGGACATCGCGCAACCCTCTGACGTCATCGAATCATGTGCATTCACCTTTCAACTTTTACCCCGACAAATCAAAAAGAAAGCAAAATTTACAAACAATTCCCGTGAGAGAAATTTGACTTCTGCGCGCTACAACAGTGAAGAATTTACAATCTGGCTCTTGAAGGAATACACTTTGTTTTGATGGGCGAGAGGTTGATGAGTCGTAGACGCGGATTGTGATGACGTTTTACACAGAGTCTGGGGACGCTTGGTGGTTGCCGGTTTCGTGTGCGCAGTCGCCGCTGGTTTTGTGGCCTCCAGCGGGTGGAGCGGACGAGGTTTGTCAGTTGTGTGAGCAACGTATAGAATGAGCTGTTCGGCGCCGCTGTGGGTTCGTTAGTGGTTTGTGTGCTCGGCAAGATGAACTGGATTTTCCCGTCGTCCAAAGGCAGCGGCAGTGGCTCCGGACACCTGCCGCCTCTCACCAGTTTACAACAGCAGCGCCAGCGGCAGATAGAGTCGGTGAAAAGCTCGCACAACAGGTAAGGAGGGGATTGTAAGAACTATCGATGCTGGAGTCTGAGATAACACACTTCAGAAACCTTCTGAAGAAGGGTCCCGACCCGAAACGTCGGCTTTCCTGCTCCTCTGATGCTGCCTGGCCTGCTGTGTTCCTCTAGCTCCACACTGTGTTATCACAGGTAAGGAGGGTCTGCGTGAGTGAGGGGCACGACCGGCGTCTTTAAATCCGCTTGTACTGTTGCTCACAGCCGTGCACAGAGTGGCTGCAGAGCCGGTCACAGTAAAGAGTAAGAATGTCCATTTGGAAGTGTTGGTGGGAAGGTCAGTCACCCATCACCTCTCCTGAAGTTTTCGCCTGGGTCTGTCTCGCTGCTTGTGGTAGAAGTGAGCAGTGTAACGAATGTATACGTGGTTATCAGTTCATAACGACGAAAAGCGAGACCTGCATCCTCCTCCATTCTACCCTGTGGTTTTGCCTGGTATTTTAAGTAATTAGGGGACAGACTATTCTGGATGTAATACTACGCAATGAGAACGTGGTAAATGAACCTGTAGGGAGGAGTGATCGAAATGCTATGGACGTTTCCATTATTTTGAAAACTACGTAGTTTAATCTGAAGCTCTAGTCTTCAATGTAACCTAACAAATTACGAAGGAGTACCAATAAACTGATAAAGGAAAAGAGAGATGAATATGAATGTAAACCAACAAAAAAAACCTTCAAAGGGTATGTTTGCAGGCAAAGATTAGCAGAAACTTTACAACAACTTATGTTAGGAAATAAGGAAAGTTAAGAAAAGTTAAATTGTTAATTTTCCTTGGGGATAGATGAAAGAGCCAAGGGACTATTAAGAATGAGAAACTGAAAGAAATTAAAATTAGTGAAAAGAAAATTGAAACAATCACTGGGACTGCATGTAAGTAAATCCCTAATGATCTACATCTCAGCCTGTTGAAAGAGATGGTTAGAGACACTCGATACATTGGTGACTACCTTTTGAAATTCTGCAGATTCTAGAAGGGTGCCTGCAGATTGGAAGGTTGCAAATGTCACACTACAATTTAAGGAAGGAGGGAGAAAATGGAATTACAGTCATGTTAGTTTGTCAGTAGCAGGGGAAGTATAAGGATCTGTTATAAAGGATGTTATTCTGAGACACTTGTATGGTTGGGGGCAATACAGTATAATTGACCAGAGCCAACATGGATTTATGAAGGTGAAATCATGTTTAACAAACCAATTCTACCTTGAAGCTGTCACTAGCACGGTAGGTAAATAAGAAGAAATGAATCTGACGCATTTGAATTTCTGAAGTCTTTTGATAAAGTCCCACAAAGGAGTTAGTAAACAAAATTGGAATACATTTGATGTGATATACTGGCATAGAACAAGAATTGGGTCATAGTCGCTTTGTCACACCCTGACTTATGGGGTACTATAAGGATCAGTGCTTGGACCCAGCTGTTCACAATCTTTATCAATGATTTGCAAGTGGAGAATAAATGTACTATTCCAAAGTTTGTAATTAACACAAAACAAAGTGGAAATGTAATTGAGGGTGCTGGGAAAGGGGATTCGGAGAGATTGGATAAATAGGCAAAAACACAATAGAAGGAATATCACATGGTTAAGTGTGAGGTTATCTACTTTTGTAGCTGGATTATCAGCCTTGGTATAGAGTGGCAGAGAGGCTTGAGTAGCTGAATAGTCTACTGCCTCTGCTCCTATGTAAAATGAGGGTGCTTTTTGCAGAAAATCTGTCATTTCTAGCTTGTTTTTAAAGAGCTCTAACACATTGTTAAAGATGGATTCAGCAGGCGAAGGTTCCTCTAATTATCTGAAAGTCTATTACATACATAGTATTTGCATGACTATAGCAATTGAAAACAAAATGATTACTTGACTAGTGGTGTTGGAAGCATAAAGAAGCAATAGTACTATCTGCAGTAGCTGTTTATAAAAATGACTGCCCTGTTTGTCAACGATAGTTTATTGTTAATTGGAGAGGAAAGGTTTTATAATTTGGAGAATGCGCATTTCAAGTTTTGGTTATTAAATTATTTGCATTATGTGTGCTTGCAAATATTGCATTTTTTCACAAAAGCAAATAGTTCATGGATGTTGCAGCGCTCCATTGCTCATGATAATTGGGAGTTAACACTTTTTGTTATAGGGCTGCACTGGCAGATGGTATTTAACTCCCTGAAAACACAAAAATACTATAATCCCTGTAGACAGTATGACAACCCATATGTTGATATCCTCTTTCACTTTCACTTAGTTGCTTGTGCAGTTTGAAACGGGAGGGCTTTGGGTTTTGTTGCCAAAATCCATCTAACTCCAAAGTTAAAATAATACTCCAGTCTTTGCAGAACCTCAGTCTATGTGTTTGCTTTGTTCAGAAACAAAAGTACTTCAATGATGCTCATGTGAACAGTACATAAAGAATTGAATATTGCTTAATTTTCTGGGTCATGTGAAATATGACTTTAAGCTGTAGTTTCACTTGTAAAAGTACATGCCTGACTTGACATCAAAATCTTGTGACCAGCTGCAAAAATATTTAGAGCCATGAACTGTGCTGTTATTTTATTATTTAAAACACATAGTCATAAAATGCACTGTCATTATTTGTTCCTCACTGAAACTCATTCGCGAGGAGTAGTTGCACATTTGCACTCTTTCAGCATCTGTTAAAGGAATAAATAGTGTACATTTTAACATGCTAAATTGTTAATTTAGCAACAGAAAATAAACAGCACAATTTTACTGAGTGGTTGCAGGGCCAGAGAGGTTCACGTAACAACTTGTGCTTCTGCCTAAAGAGAGCTATATGTTTTTTTTAAAAATACGTGATCCTGCACTTTTTAAGTAGAAATATAGAATAAATGAATGAAGTTAGGCTAAACCTTTTAAATCACTGGTGAGGCCTTAACTAGAATATTGTCAAACTCCGAACATCACAATGCAGAATGGTTTAAAGGCCTTGGGGGAGAGTGCAGAGCAAGTTCCCCAGAATACTTCAGGGGAGTTCGGTTATGCAAAGAGGCTAGGGAAGAATTCTTCTTGGATTGAACAAAATTAAGGGGAAATATAATAGGTGTTCAAAGTTGAGTTTTTGATAAACTAAAGAGGAGAAATTGTTTTCACTTGCACAAGGATGGTAACCAGAGGGTACAAACTTAAGCAAGTTGGGAAAGAATCAGGATAAATGAAATGTTTTAAATGCAGCAAATTGTCATCTGGAATGCTTAGCCATGAGACCTGTTGAAACAAGTTCAATAGTAATAGTTGAGAGAATTGGATGTATACTTGAAAGGAGAAAAATAGAATGGCTATGGGAAGGAGCAACGTCAGGAGTCACACAACACCAGGTAACAGTCCAACAGGTTTATTTGAAATCTCGAGCTTTCAGAGCACTGCTGCTTCGAGTGAAGGGAAGCACGCTGGCTCTGCCTATGGAAGACTGTTTATGTATAATTTTTATGTAATTATAGAATTTGGGGCCTAATCACATTTTTGATGATCGGACAGCTCCTTTTTGGGTTATAAGCTTATGCTAAGACTGTTGACACAGCATCTTGTATGATAGAAATGTTGACACGTATATGACATATAATGTAAGACATTCTATTCTTTAGCCACATAAAGCAAACTTGTAGGATAAAATTTTGTTTGCCTCCTTGGGACAAAGACGAGGGCTGGTTGACGGGCGGAGCCCATGGTCACATTGAATTAAGACAGGTATAAATATTGTCATGTATGGGCATGTTCCAAAAGTTACTTTGTTAAATATCAGAGATGATACTGTCAGCAGTTGCCGATGCCAATGTCCCTGGTACCCCAAAGGTTTGGGAGTTAAATTTAAACACAAAGATGCATAGGTAAGTGAATTTTGAAGTAAGCATAAGGAACTAACTAAGTGAAATAGATAGGGTGAATGGGCAAAGACCTGGCTAACGGAGTAGAATATGGGAAGATGTGAAGTTATCTATCTATTTTAGCAAAAAGAATAAAAAGAACCAAATTATCTAAGCGGTGAGAGGCTGCATCTCTCTGAGATGCAGAGAGATCTGGGTGTGCTAGTGCTTAAATCGGAGAGTGTTAGTAGACAAAGTACAGCCGTTAATCAGGATAGCTAACAGAATGTTATGGTTTATGGCGAGGGGAACTGAATGCAAGAGTATGGTGGCTAGGCTTCACTTATGCAGGGCATTGGTGAGATCACATCTGGAGTACTATGTAAAGCACTGGTCATTGTACTTATGAAAGGATGTTCATTTGTTGGAATTAGTTCACAGAATGTTTACTAGACTAATATGTGGAATGAGCAGATTGACCTGAGGAAAGGCGAGACAGGTCTGTACATTGCAGAGTTTAGAACAATTAGAAGTTACTTAATTGAAAACATAAGATCCTGAGGGGATGGGATAGGGGGTATGTTGAAAGGATGTTTCTTTTTGTGGGAGAAGCTAGAGTTACAAGTCATTGTTTAAAAATGATAGTCATAAATTGGAGACAAGGATGAGGAAGCATTTTTTTCCCCCCCGAGGGTTATAAGCCTTTGGAATTCCCTACATCAAAAGGCAGTGGATTCAGAGTCTTTAAATAATTTTCAAGACAGAGCTAGATTCTTGAATGCCACGTGAATGAAAGACAAAGGAATATAGAGTTAAGGTTAAAATCAGATCAGCCATAATCTCATTGAACGGTGGGAGAACAGGTTCACAGGGCCAAGTGGCCCACTTCTGTTCTTTGTTCATCTGCTAACCACTATGCTAACAATAGGGTGGGTTCGGTTCGGGCAGATTCCAGCTCTGAATCCGGAGAGTAGGCCCCCAAATGTGGCATGGTGTGGACAGGTGTAGCCAGGAACAAGACACTCTCGGCGGCAGAGCATGGGCTGGAAAGCCTGGAGCGGGACTCTGGCAGTGGAATAGCAGCGCGGAAGGAAAGTTGGACTCTCTAAGTTGACTTTCTTTATTTTATTCTGTGAATGGTGCTTATGTACGGGCGACG